CCAGCCGCACAGTGACCAGTGGCTGTGTGACCACAGGACTGCCCGCCGGGCTCGCAGGACTTCCGAGAGCTGCAGTGCGCCGAGTTCGACAACGTGCCCTTCCGAGGGAAGTACTACACCTGGAAAACCTACCGGGGAGGTGAGGCGGGGCAGGGGCTGCTCGGGGCTGCTCTCCTTTGTTGCAGGGTGGTAGAAATGCTGCAGCCTTCTTCGAGGTGTCTCCTTCAGAAGCCACTGGAGTAAGGCAACGTTACAGGCTGGGGACGGTGTGGCAAAAGGGACCTGGGGGTGCTGGTCAACAGCAGGCTGGACATGAGCCAGCAGTGTGCCCTGGTGGCCCAGAAGGCCAATGGCTCCTGGCCTGGATCAGGAATGGTGTGGCCAGCAGGAGCAGGGAGGACGTTCTGCCCCTGTACTTGGCCCTGTACAAGGCTGCACCTTGAGTGCTGTGTCCAGCTCTGGCCCCTCAGTTTGGGAAGCACATTGAGATCCTTGAATGTGTCCAAAGGAGGGCAAAGAGGCCGGTGAGGGGCTTGGAACACAAACCCTGTGAGGAATGACTGAGGGAGCTGGGGGTGCTCAGCCTGGAGAAATGGAGACTCAGGGGTGACCTTATCACTCTCCACAACTCCCTGAAAGGTGGCTGTGCTCAGGTGGGGTTGGGCTCTTTCTCCAGGAACTGACAGAACCAGAGGACACAGCCTCAAGCTGCCCCAGGGGAAATATAGGTTGGATATTTGGAAAAAGCCTTTTCCAGAAAGGGTGATAAAGTTCTGGAATGGCTACCCAGGGAGGTGGTGGAGTCACCATCCCTGGATGTGTTTAACAAAGCCTGGATGTGGCACTGGGTGCCAGGGTTCAGTTGAGATGTTGGGGCTGGGCTGGACTCGATGATCTTGGAGGTCTCTTCCAACCCAATGATTCTGTGAATTCTGTGAGAACAGCCACTTCAAGTCCATGCACACACACACCACAGATAGCTCAGAGGAGGAAGGACAGGAAGGGTCTTTGTTTGATGTATTCCAGCGAAGGTTTATGGCATCCACCACGCCAAAGGGATCAGGGACAAACACTTGGCCATGTGCTCTGCACAAGGTTAAGTAGGGGTCAGTGGCCAATGGTCTGATGTCAGACTAAGCCCTGCTCTGACACAGAAATGGGGCAACTGAGAGGTGTTTTAAAAACTTTTATTCCATTTTCAGTCTCCTTTGAAGGGTGAGATAATACAGGTGTTATAAATCACACCATCACCATTAGAAGCCAACTATTTCCTAATTACAAAACACTGTAAGCATTTCTTGGCCTATCAGCTTTTACCACACCATGCTGTAGATGCCTTAAAGCAAATAATCTAAAATTATTCTTTGTGGGTCCTAATAGAATGTATTTTTTATAGTTTTGTTTCTTAAAAGTATTTAGGTTTTTTTGTAAGGTTATTTTTTGAAACTTGTTTCTAGTTTAATTTATCTTTCAACAATGTCTGTCCTATTCCATGGCAATTCTAAGTCAGCATTTCTTATCTCAAGGTTTGTGTATAGATGCACACTGTGTGAGGCTTCTGTCACGTTTTGAGAATTTTCTACCAAATCCATTTGCCACAGTCTGAGGGCAAGGTCATTGGCCTACAGGGAAGATGGGGCTGGCCACCAGGGATACCACAACCAATGAGAGAACAGGGAAAGGAAAAACCACAAGAGTTTGGAACATATGGGGAAAAGAACTGGGGTGGATCATAAGTCAGGTGCCCGATGGGGAGGAGACAGAGCAGGCAGGGAAAGCTTCCTGAGCAGGAGAAGGGATGGGATCTGGTGGATCCTTCAAAGAGCAGCACTTCCCTCTTCCTGAGGTCAGCCCTGGGTCCTGCAGAAGGGTCTGGAGGAGGCTCTGTGGCAGAAATCTCTCAATAATGAGGAGGAAGAGCTCATCTCCTTGGTGCAGTTAATGAACTGGACTGGGGAAATCCTTCCCAGCTGTGTAAACAAGCCCAGCTCCCAGCAGGGCTCCTGCAGCTGGAGCAGCTGGGCTGAGGCTGCAGGGGATGGATCAATAAAAATGTAATAAAACTGGGAGGCTGTAAAGTCACCCCAAGACCCCAGTGGATGTCAAGGTGGAAGACAACCCTGCAGGCTGGAGCTGCCCTGGCTCAGACCTCTCTCCTCCCCAGGCATGGCCCAGGGCTTGGCTGGCCAGCTGAACATCACCCCTGGGGTGTCATCTGTCCCTGATATGAGTTATTTGCTTTCATAAAGAGCCCCTTCCTCTCTCAGCTTCAGCTTCCTCTGCCACAAAATAAGTGATGAAACCTCTCCCCTCGTGGGAGGCTGGCAGTGCTGACAGTGCCATGTTTTGAAGGGATCTGGGAGCTTCATCTCCTCTTCCCATGGTGGCTGTGGCTCATGAGAAGCATTTTTGTTTTGTTTACTCAAAGGGTGTCACTGTTGTCCCCTGAGGAACCTTGAAGTGGGAGAAGTCAAGGAATCTCTCTGCACAAGTCTGAGCTCTCTCTCAGACCTGGGGAGACCCGGTGTGTGTCCAGTACCTAAAGGGGGCAGGAAAGAGAATTTTAGCAAGGCCTGGAGGGACAGGACACAGGGAATGGCTCCCACTGCCAGAGGGCAGGGATGGATGGGATATTGGAAGGAATTGTACCCTGGCAGGGTGGGCAGGCCCTGGCACAGGGTGCCCAGAGCAGCTGTGGCTGCCCCTGGATCCCTGGCAGTGCCCAAGGCCAGGCTGGACAGGGCTGGGAGCAGCCTGGGACAGTGAAGGTGACCCTGCCATGGCAGGGGTGGCACTAGGTGGGCTTTGAGGTCCCTTCCCACCCAAACCATCCTGTGACTCCATGATTTCAGCAGCAACAGGATCTCCATCCTCACATGCCTGGGGGGTTCTGTGATTTTTGGTGGCATTTGGGTGACAGGGGTACATCTTGGGGAGGTGGGGACATCCCTTGCAGCTCCACCTTTCCCATGTCATAGATCTGACCCCAGGGAACCCCTCCTGTCCTGCCCTTGCCACTGATATTCTGCTCCCAGGCTGTGTCCCCAGACTTTGGGGTGGCAGTGAGGGCTGCTCCTCACCTCCTGAGCCCTTCCAGCAGTGCCCAGAGGCCTCAGACATTCGGGGTGCCAGTCCCCCTCTCCCCATCAGCCCCTCAGGATCCCCCTTTACTGGCAGCCTCATCCCTGGGCATCCCTCCCTCTGGCTGGCAGGGAATCTGCTCCTCAGCTTGGTTCTGGGTGCTTTGTGAGCCCATCCTCACCACCCTGAGCCCCTTCGGCTGCTCAGCTCATCCCAAAAGGGAGGGTGGTTTGGTGTGGGAGTCCAGGGCTTCCCTCTGGCTGCCCTGGCAGGTCTGGGACCCTGGCAGGGGTCAGGAACCCCCTGGACAGAGCCCCCAGAGACACTGGCTGTGATCTCTGGCCATGGAAAAGAGTTTTCAATCTTACAGGATCAATTACAAGCTCTGAGTGTTTGATATGAGTAATAATTAAGTGTGGCATGGGTGCAAAAGTAAAATTTTAGGATTCTAGATAAGCGGTCCAAAGGGGACAAGATGGAGGAAATTGGGTGTGCCTTGTCCTTTTTCTCCTTCTTCATGCCCTCCATGTCTCACTGTGGTGTTGGCATTTTTCTGCTGGTTCAGGCTGGGGACACACTGTCCAACATAGGTGACAGATATTGGCACGTTACTGTAAATCCAGCCCAGGGAGTTTCTGGTATTTAATGTTTGTCACATCCCACTGAGGGCAGAGCCCCACACGCTGCCCTGCAGGACAGAGCTGGGCAGGGCAGCAGAACATGTGAGAGATAAACAGAATAAACAACCTGGAAACCAGCACAGACCAATTATGGCTTCTGCTTTGGCAGCGGGGCTGACAGACAGAGACTTTCTACAATCTCAAAATCATCAATACCTCAGATTCCAACAGTTTGGGGGTTCCTTGCTTCACCATATTTCTTTGGGAAATATGCACCCAGCTTGCAGGCAAGGAGTCCACCAAAAGCTTGGAGGATTTGGGTCACCAATCCTGCGGAAATTTGGGAAGGGAAGGAGCTGGACAGCAGCTCCCTGAGGTCGGGGCTGTTTTCCTGGCGCTGATTTCCAGCGATCCCGCAGCCCAGACCTCGGGATGGGGAGGCAAAGCCCCGGAGAGGAGCGCTGAGCTCAGCAGTCCGCACATCCCTCCTGGAATGCGGATTTCATTGTTTGTTTACTTTGCTTTGTTCGCTGCCTTCTTCATTTTGCTCTTGGCCCATTCGGGAGTTCGGGGAGAGCCATGGGAGGAGCGGGAGCTTGAGGAAACCAGGAGATTGCTCACCAAAAATTGTAATAAGGCTTAATTCCTCCATGGGAGAGGGCAAGCAGGAGGAACAAAACATCCTCGGAGGCATCAGCTGAAAACATTCTATTTTAATAGCTCTGTTAAACGTGCAAAGGAGGAACCAGGCAGACCACAAGTGAAGGGAGGGGGTCAGAATCTGCCTGGCTGGGGTTTTCCTCCCTCCAGGACAGCTCCTGGAGCCCAGCGAGGGCTGGAGCTGTGCCAGGCCTTAGCATGGAGCTCAGGGAAAGGTTCTTCCCCCCGAGGGTGCTGGCACTGCCCAGGCTCCCCAGGGAATGGTCCCGGCCCCGAGGCTGCCAGAGCTGCAGGAGCGTTTGGACAGCGCTCTCAGGGCTGCTCAGGGTGGGGCTGTTGGGGGGTCTGGGCTGGATTTGATCCCTGGGGGTCTCTCCAAACTCAGGATGTTCTGGGATTCCATAATTGTGTTTACAGCATCCCCTGGGCCAGCTCAGAGGTGCCATCACTCTGTGGGAGCCGCTCCTCTCCCACCTCCAGGGATTCCGAGGCACCTTGTGCTGCTCCAGAGGATCTTGCTCTGCTCAGCGCTGCTGCCATGGGGACACTGGGGCCACCTGAACAAGGACAAGGACCTGCCCAGGCCACCAGGGCACCTCTTGGCCAAGGACACTGCACTCCTGGGCAGCGGTGCCAGTCTCCTTCCCTCTGGCGACCTGGCTGCCCAGGGCAAATCCTGCCTGGAATTTGTCCCCAGGGAGGCTCTGGGGACAGTTCCGAGCTCGGGGAGCAGTGGCAGTCAGGACATGGGGACCAATGCAGGGTCACCCCTCTGGGCCTCCTGCACGCTCCCTCCCCTGTTCCTCTTCCCTGGCACTTTTATGGGCAGGAATCCCCATGTGAAGGCCTGTCCCAAGTGGGGAGAGCCAGCAGGGATTCACCCCTGAGGCCTTTTTGGGCTACCTAAAAACAGAGGCTGTGTGAGAAATGGATTTGTAGAAATAAGTAGCAGTTCCATTTATATATAAATATAATTTTAATTTTTTAATATAACATAGATAGTATTATATACAGAATATATTTCTTCTATAAACATAGACTATAAATATTATGTTTATATACTAATATTATATATTTATAGAATACAAATAAATATATGAAGTATACAATAAACAAAGTATACCATAAACAAAGTATACAATAAACAAAATATACACTATAATATC